AGCCTGGACTTGCTGCTGCCGGGAAGTTCAACTGGAAAACAAATAAATGGGTGAACTCCAGGTTACAGTGAGAGATTCATCCAACGAAGAGCTGCAGATTATAAGTGTCTTATAAAGCATATTCATGTACTTCTGACAAACACATATTTGCATGGTTTAGAAAGCTAGACACATCATCCTGTCTCTCTCCACAGGCTGACATACCGGGTGTGAGGACGACCACAGACATGGTGATGAGCGAGCAGACCACCACGATCACCAGCAAAGAGATGGCAATGCCCTTCCAGTTCCTCTGCGGAGGGCTGACGTCCACATACTCCTGCAAACACAGAAAGTCAGAAACAAACACTAATCATCAGAAACTGTGACTCTACGTGTGAGTCACTCGAACACTGTGAGAATTCATCTGCAGCCCTAACAGCCTCTACGCTCGCTGTGGGATTTTGCTCTCATTCAGTCAGAAGTGATGCTGTTTAATGCGGTCCAGCTTGCACTTTATCCCAGAGGTGTTGCATGTGGCTGAGTTTGAATTTATGTGTAATTTCTTCCAGACCAAACTAGGAAAACTTTTTTTTACATGGCGCTGACAATAAAATATCATCCCAGTACTGACCTGGCTCTGCAAGACCTGTGAAGGTGTCTTATGACATCTGGCACCAGCTGGCAGCTCACTGTGAGTTGGAGGTGCTGTGGACCAGTTAGGGATTTGCCCTGAAGCTCCCCACAAGCCTCAACCACACACACAACTCTTAACTTAATACAGTTACTTTTGATCATTCTGAAAAATGGGATACTTTGTATAAAAATGGCTGTAATTCCTAAACAGTTAATTCAAAAGTGTTGTTAAACCACTTAAATTAAAGCTGAAGGTTTCCACGTCAGTCACATCTTGACTGTTTTAAACTCTGCTGTGTTGGTGTACAGAAGGAAAACTACTTTCTCCAGCAAAATATAGTTTGATGCTTCATTTTAATTACATTTTATTTATATATCGACACATTACAACAACAATTAGCTCAAGGTGCTTTAAATCGTAAGGTGAAGACTCTACAATAATACAGAGAAAATAGAGAAACCCCACCAATCAGACGAGCCCCTATCGGCAAGCTCTTTGGTGACAGTGGGAAGGAAAAACTCCCTTTTAACAGGAATACACCTCCGGCAGAGCCAGGCTCAGGGAGGCACAGCCATCTGCCACTGGTGGGGGGTGAGGAAAGGAAGACAGGACAAAGAAACCTTGGCCATTTCACTCTAACTAAATGATGGACAGACTCCTGCATTAAAGGAATATTGTGGCTCTGCTGTAATCTGTGGTCTCTTTCAAAATGAGAGAGGAAATAAAGGCTGACTGAATTTGATGCTGTGGCCTTCACACTGAACATCTACAGGACGTTTGGGACTGAGATGCTTGAGCGTGCTCCAACCACCATCATAAAAAGATCAAACATAGCAGAGAGAGACTGCATAGGGTTAAAAATCATGTATGAACTGAGCCCCTGG